TCAACAGCTCTCTTGATTGGTAGCATCACACTGTCTCTACTGTGAAGCTCTGCGGGATCCTGGATAACACCCAACTTGGCACGGGGCAAAGTGCTCTGGGCATAGGAGTCAGGGGACTTGTATCCTGCTAACAACTTGCTAGGTGACATTGGGAAAGAAATTACTTCCCTAGTCACAGGATTTCTTTCGGTAAGGTAAGGGTGATAATCTTTATGGTCCTTCTCAAGGTTCTGGGTCATTCTTCTGATGAAGATTTAAGTACTTACCTATTATCTCCTAGGTACTTAAGAAGGAAGCTTTTATAGATTAAGATGAAAATTCATCTTTAATTGGCTTGAATGACAACTAGTTCCTCCTTCCATACTCTCCTATGTGTTTAGCGATTTGTTTTTTCAGGGGAGTTTCTTCTTGCTGTAAACTTCTGGGGTATTTCCTAAGGGCAAGAAATCATTTTGGACTAGAATATGTAGGTGGAGTTGAACATACGGGCTTCTTGCTTGATGAGTACTCAACTTTGAGTTGAATTTAAAAAAATAAAGGAATAGAGTTTATAGGAGGAATATCTGAAGTAAAAAGACATTTCCTTTCTAGCTTAAAAAAACCCCCGCAATTGAATCTTTTCTCCTCATAGCTTTGAGACTTAACTAAGATGCCATAAAATTCACTTTAAGAAGAATACAATTCAATGGTTTTTAGTATATTTGCAGAGTTCTAATTTCAGAACATTTTCGTATCTCAAAGAAACTCCATACCCATTACCAGTCACAGAGCATTTCCCTCCTCAGTCCTGGTAACCATGAATCTACTTCCTGTCTCTGCAGGTTTTTCCTATCCTGGAACTTTATATAGATGGAATCATATAATATGTGGTCTTTTGTGACTGTCTTCTTTCACTTAGCATAATATTTTCAAGATTCATTTATGTTGTAGCATATATCTGTACTTTATCCCTTTTTATTACCAAATAATAGTCCATTGTATGAATATACTACATTTTATATATCCATTCATCAGTTGATGGACAGTTAGGTTGTTTCCACTTTTTGGCTATTACACATAATGCTGCTATAAACTTGTACATACAAGCTTTTATAGGGACACATGTTTTAATTGATCTTGGGTATCTACTTAGGGGTAGAATTTCTAGGTTGTATGGTAAGTCTGTTTAACCCTTTGAGGAAATGCCATACTGTTTTATAAAGTAGCAGCACCATTTTACA